TTTAATTGTCGATACGAATCGTGACTCCATCGATATTTCAAACACGTTCTATAAGGACGTGCGATTTCATTAATGGTGCAAATAATCTGCACGCGAAACTCACGTAAAAAAGTCTCTGTTTCTCAACAATTTAGTGTTCCCGGCTCGAGTTAATTTACTATTAGCAATAAGAAAACAAGCACTAAATTTCTTCGCTCGTTATAAAATGTTCAATGTCTCGGAAATTTCGTATTTAGACTGTTCTATTTTCGCGTGGAGGTTCGATTCAAAGACAAGTGGAATTTTCGCCACGGTTCGGGGAGAACAATACCATTTTTAAGACCGTCACCAGCACGGTTCTGCTTTTTATACATTTCTCGAGGACGTGGATACTGCTGGGAAATATCAGATAACTTTCTCTGGGAAAAAGTCCAGCCGTACCGCTCTCAATGGCAATTGACGCATCATAAACCCACACGCAGCGGAAAGGGACGGTGATATATAAGAACGTTTCTTTTAAGGGTGCCATCCTCGCGACGAAAAAAGAACGGAATTGTCTCTTTTTACGAAATCGTAGTTCGAAACAACAAGAAAAAGAAATTATAAACAAAATCAAACAGGCGTACTGCTTTAAAAATAAAAATGTCTCACCACGTAGCGAACGATTATTTGCAATTTAGTTATTATTACAATTATTTGCAAATAGGGAATACGAAACTTCATATGTCACATTTTCTGAGGTTAGTAAGACGTTTCCAAGTTCATTTGTTTCTGCACTACTAAGTGGTCACTAGAGTACTGAAAGTTTAGAAACTCCAATATTATTTCATAGATAATTTGGTGCAAAACTTTAAACGCGTTTTCCTCAAAACCACATTTTTCAAACTGGGGGCTCAATAACTCAGTCAATTTTCATCCGATTTACTTAAAATTTTGTATACTGGTTCCTAATGCTATTTTCGTTGATTGCACGTACAGAATTTTCGATCGAATAATTAGTTTCGACGTGGTATTAAAAGAAACATTGATTTTGTCACAATTGTTTGTGATTTTTCCTTCAAACTTCCACCATTTTATAATAAATAATTATTTTTCAAAATCTGCACGTGCAATTGAAGCTACTGTCTTATAGTTCAAGAATATTGCATGATTTCTTGTTTCACAACTTACAGTGAAAAATTACTGTCCGTTTCTAACAAATTCTTGGAGGCCTCTCATGCTGGTTCCTATTATGGCTATAATGATTAATATTTTTATACGAAATTTTTACAAGAATGGTTCAAGAAACGTACTTTCGAAAACATCAATCATTTACCAGAAAAAGTTTCATATTTGCGCTCAAAAAATTCTTGAAAATTGCGTTTATTTTCGACACAGTGATTTCCCCTCCTTAAGACAACCCTCTACGAGACTCTAATTTCGTTAATTCTATTTAAAAAAATATGGATTTGCATAAAGATTCCTTTCTACTTTGTGGTATTTAAAAAATCGAATTTTTTTTGTGTTTTCTTTTAATATGTAATCTCGAAAATATATCTACCAAATATTAAATTGAAATTTGAAAAACTAACGAAGTTATAGCCTGCTGAAATGTACCGCGCGCAGGTATAACAACTGGACGTGAAACTTTAAACCTGTTTTTCTCGAAACTACATTTTTCAGCACTGCGTATGTGTTAACAAAAAAACTATTCAAGATATCAACATGAAATTTATACAGTATCTTTAGAACTGGTCTCCCTATAGCATGAACTAAGATAATTGCGATATATGCAATATTTTTTCTATTATTAACAAAAAAGCAACCGAATATATGAAAATATTCAGTATTTTATCGTAAAATAGCTGCCATTATGCCATTTTTTGTTTTTTTGAAAAATCCTAGTACATGCTATAACCACACTCATCTATATTAAGAATATCGTTGGTTTTTGGATTTCGGATAACTTGTTTGCAAAATATCACATACGCAGTCGGTCGCCGTTCGTAAAAACTGTTGTTTGTTGATCAACAAAAACAGCGTAATCAATAGATATTATGCGTTGCAAAAATTCGTAAATATAACTAAATATATAATAAATTTATCTACAAAACCCGGAATTAATCGCTATTTAATAGCCCGCAAAAAAAAACTCAAAGAAACATGAATTTTTCGTGTCTACAAGGTGGAATGGCTCCTTAAGTAGAGTGCTGAGATTTAGTCGAAGACACAATGAATCGAGAAAAACGAAAAAGAAACGCGTAAGGGCGATAGCAAAGTCTCGTTTCGGTTCAATAACGGAGACGAAACGCGGGTAGCGCGATGGCGCGTTGATCAAATACGGTTGCACGGGTCGGGAATGTAATGACCCGTAGGAGTACTCGAGACACACGGGGCCACGGGATTATCGGCGACAAGCGCGACGAGCTCGACAATCATTTCGCAATTACGAATGCAGCGAAACACAGAGGACTGGCAGACGCCGCTCCGCTCCGCGCCGCGCCGGCCGGCGTTGCAACGCGACGGAAATAAATCGCCGCGTGATTGATCGCCGACGCCATGAATGCTGCATGGAAACGGAATTAATGCACTGTCAATCGCGCGAGACGAGCAAAACCGAAACGCCGCGGCGGTTTTCGCGTATACCCGTCTACGACGCCGGACGACGTCTAGCCCTCGATATTTATCGCGTTCGTTTTCGACTTCCTATCCCGTTTCCCCGCTCGAATATCCCTCCTCGCGGAGCACACGACGCGTCAACCATTTCCCGATGGAACGCTTAAAGCGTCCTTTCTACGGAAAGTAACGATCCGCGTTCGTCTGGAAATAAAAGTTATTTTGGAATATTTATTTGGTCAACATTTTCCTACGTTTCACGACATGAAAAATACAATGAGTTTTCTAACTTAGCACTTTTAATCACAGCCACCATATTTGTTACTCTTTCTCGCAAGGGTAGGTTTCTTGTTTATCCCAAGAAAGAAAAGTAAATGAAAATTATGTGTGATAGAAAATTGGTAATATTGTCGTACGACGAACAAACATGGTAACAGAATAAACATTATATGAATAAAATAATAAAGAAAGGAATATTTCCACGGAAATATCGTTTGATTGTTCCACGAAGGTGTTGATCCATACTTGATGCTTCCCGGAAATGTCATATTTAGTTTACGTACACGCGAAGTCCACTATCGAGGAACTACTATTTTTATAATCTACAATAGACATCGAGATGGTATTCAAGCAATATCAATTTAATTTAGAATACGAACGTTCCTCCCTAGTTATAAGATTTGAAATTTACAACCTTCCTCCCCATTCTTCGAAGGAAGAGCTCGAATCGTAGGAAAGTTCACGGGAGCTCAGATTACAAAATCGTACGTTTGCCGTTGGAGGATGTACGTTTAAATTTGCGAGAACGACACGGGGAGATAACGGCCGCGAGCAACCGGCCGTCAAAGAAGAAGGACTTTAATTGCGAAACCGAACATCGAGAGCCTTGCCAATTCTCGGGGGGAACGTCTCCGCCCGAAGCGACGTTCGATTCGCCTCCATTATCTAGCGACCGCCAACTTCGGTGGTGTAAGCCAAGAATTCAACAAACCGATCGAGGTGAATCGATTTCCGATCGGGTGTCGCGCGTGCCTTCGTTCCGATCCGATCGGGATTGTTTCGACCGCAGACCTGCATTGTTTCGCGATCGAAGGCATTGTTTTCCGTTGCGAGCTTATCGGCATCAATCATTGCATCTGCTATCAACAATTGATCCACCGCGTGCATATCTACGTAAATATAGATACACGCATTAATATACCAGCACGGTTCGCCAGGGGTCACTCTAATGCCTTCGTTGTTTCAACCCTTATCCGGATTACGGTAGCCTCTGTGACTCGTAATAACTAAATATATGGGTCATTTGGCAATTATAATCAGGAACGATTTTACGTGGAAAAGTATGCTATAGTTCTATAATAAATGTTTTTTAAATACGAGACTTCGTTTACAGAAAAATTGACGTTGAAAATTCAACGAGCAAAGCTTGGACGCTGAAGCAAGTAGAAATAACGAATATTGTTCAGACGCGGTGGATAAATTGTATTAAAATTCGATTATCTCGAAAACGAAGCATGGTATGAAAAAATTCCAATCTACATTTTCGATGAGTTTTTTCGTGTAGAATAACCTCCAGGTTCGATTGAACCACGATTAGTGGGATACGATCATGTTTTCCGCGAAAGAACTGGTCGGGGTACTCGGTCTGACCGAATACAGACCGCTACTACTTGATTCGAGTAGAGTGCAACATATCTAGCAGTGTTTACAGGTCTTGTTATGAACGAAATCTGGCGACAATTCTCTGTAGGCTGATCTAATTACCATGTTAACTATCTATTGCATATTATCCAGATTTATTTTTTATAATATATCAGTTGGAGAATTAAATAGATTCATAGTTCGTGCCTTTTGATTTATCTTTTAAAAAACAATGGTCCACCTTGTTACCTCGTACCAAATGACTCTGTATAACTTTTAAACAATTCCACCGATTTGAAATCTCTGTGACAAAAGAATCAGGGGAATAAAAATTCTGCCAATTTGTTAATCGTTTATTTTACAGCACCCCCGTTGAATAATCTCCATTTCTCCGGCTTCTCCGCGTTGCTAAAAAATGGCTGAAAGATCAATTCCGCGAGAATCGTTATGAAAACCCGGCAACACTCGATATCAGCTAGTCTTGGAAAGATCGCGTATAGTCTGGCGCTCCAAGAAAACATTAGGGGCGTTTGTTCACCGTTCGCGAGAAAGAAACCGCGGGAAAAGATGAAAAGGAAACCTCCTTTCGTCCATTTATCCGACCCCCGCGTTCTTCTTCGAAGAGGAGCCTCCGAGCGTGGTAACTCAACACCTTGATGGATCAAAGTAGTCGGTAACCTCGTTAAAGAAACGAATGTGGGGGCCCCTTGGTGGTCTGGTTGATTCCGATAGCGTTCACTGCATCTGTGGACAAAAGATACGCGTCGACGCGGGCGGATCCTTACCTCGCCGGAAGCCACGGCCTCGCCAGGTATGAACAGCTCCGGGTAAACGTTGTCGAGGTACCATTTGAACGACTTGCAGCCCAGCTTCTTCCTCAGGGCCCTCCGGTCCGACACGTCCCCGTAGTTGCCCTGGAAGTCGCGAAGCCTGGTAAATTTCGATCGAACCGCGGGAAACGTCGTTTCCGGCCACGTGAATTTCAAGACACGGAAAGGGGGACGCGAGAGATATAATCGTAAAACGAGAGGGAAGAAATTAAGGGCAAGTGGAAACACACGGAACCATTTACGGACTCGATGTAGGAGCCTCGAAGTGGAATAATGTGGGATGCCTGCGAGGGGATGAAAAGACGATTTATGTGGAATCTTGGACGATCGTGGGGTGTTTAATTACGGTGGCGAGCAATTTTCAACGCTGTGTACTTCGACCGAAAATAATTAGAAATAAAACTTAGTTGCGTTATGAAATAGTTATTTCCACGTTCGCGACGTTTGTTAGGGATTTAATTAAAAAACATTTTTGTTATGCGCGAATTTTTCGATAAGCGGACGAAACTGGTGGAAAAAACTCGACGGAAACGATTCCAGCGCGAAGTTGCGGGAAACGGCTAATTATAAAATGCACGGCTCGAGCGGCCCGAATGGAAAGACACGTCGATAAATATGGCCCACTGAGAGCATTCTTCAAACTTTTTATCAAGAAAGATCCCGGTTCTTAACATCGGTTCTAAGAATCAGATCTAGCGAATGATCGGAACACTCGAACTTCTGAGTTTGCCAAACTCAAGCGATCGACGCACGTGGATTGAGATTTTGGATGTAATGATTTTGTAAACACTGGTTCCCGTCGTAAAAGAAACTCGAGAAAAGATACGGGCACGGTTTGGATGCTCCGTAATTCGACATGCGTGGAAACGATTTATTTTTATCCTATCGCTCCGCTTCCTCGATCGTATCCCGTTCCAAAGAAAGACAAGCTGCCAGGATAAAGGATAAATCGTTACAGCCGCGAATAAAAGAAGCGTCTTCCGTGGAAGCCAAGACACGCGAACGATCTTTAAGACTACTTGGCGCATTTATAGCCCACCCCCGCCCCATTTACGACGATTCTCCGTCTACAGTGTTCTCCATCATCGGCCTCGGTTATCGTCATCCCTTATCGTAACCGTTCCGACCAACGTGTGCCTCAACATGCCCTCATGAGCTCAATAAAATCGCACGCAAATAAAAAAACCTGTTCACGGCCGAAACTTTGACGTGCTTACGAAACAACTACGAAATACTGTTTCCATCGATGTCTTCCACTTAAATTTGTAGATCTATTAACGCTGGCACAACCGACAATTATGGTGTATTTATTTCTAACAAAAAAATTAAAACGATAGATTTATTCATTCTCTTATAAAAAGCTACGATAAATTTTCAAAAATCGAGTCGAGTGAATGTTCTATCACTTTTATTAGAAATTACGAATTTTGGCCACTTTGGTAGTTCCCAGTGTTAACGAACCTATTAAGCCAGCAAAAATTCGCGAATGAATTTAAAATTCTTATCCCAATATCCGTGAATAAAATTTGACTATTTTCATGAAGTACGACTTCAAAAAACCACCACTGTTCCTTGTTGTTCAGAATGAAAACCGAGTCGAGTGCTCTCGAATAAACTTTAACATACTCATTCCACCGCGCCACGCTTTTGTTATTGTTTTTGGACGTTCTCGAGACAGAGCACGCATTGTCTCGAGCAAATGTGGGGGAAGGTAGATCGGGACGTTCGAAAGGGTTCGGAGGGGAAAAGTCGAAGAGTTCGGTGAAAAAGGTTCCACGGCCGGGTGAGTAGAGGCGCTCACCTTGTCGTGACCTATCCTCTGGTAGTAGTACTTGGCGTACTCGTCCAACCACACTTCGCTCAGCCTTATGCTGTTCCTCTTGAGCACGTTCACGCCGCTGCGCCACTTGTACGGCGAACGTTTCCGGAAGATGTGGCCCACGTGCGAGCACGGCACGATTTCCAGGGTACCTAGAGCCGCCATTCGAATTTCATTCGGCGAGGAAGCGTTTGATCGTCGGAAACACGCGTACATTTCGCCCCCGGAAACCGTCTACCAACGATCGAGAAGTTGTTTCTCGTGGTCCACTCAGGATTCATTTCGACCATTGTAAATATTTTACTTTTAATAATTAAATTCTATTTCAAAGAGTTGGTCAAAAATTTTCCTTTGTATAACAAGGACGTGGAGCATGAAATTTTGGACAATAAATAGAATTTCTAAAATTACTCTTACACTGCATTTCCATTTCTGGCGTTACGAACTAATTGGGAATATTAAAGTTTTAACATTTCCTTAGAAGTTTTCACGTCGACGTATTTCGCGAGGTTTCCGCGGAAACAAAGGAAAATCGTTATCGAACGTCGAGGGAAATTCAGCGTATTTTTCGCGATTAAATTATCATCATGCCAGAACTGTAGGGAAGAATGTACACATCACGGGGATTCAGTGTTTCGTTTTAAAGGATTTCCCGCGCGACGAGATTGGAGGTTTTTCAGGACAGAATTCTGTTCCGCTCGTTTCTGTCAATTTCTCCAAACCAGATTTCGCGACGGGGGGAACCTACCTCCGCACATCCAAGTCTTGAACGAGAGCTCGAGATTTTCGCCACCCCAAATGTCGAAACCACTGTCGTACGTGCCGAGGCGCTCGAAGAATGCTCGATCTATCGAGAAGAGGCCACCAGCCATCGTCGGCGACCACACGGGCTCCGCAGGATTCTTGTGCCTCTTTTTCTCCCTATCCGGAACCGCATGCCAGTTGAACTGGATACAGAAACAGAGAAACCTTCAGAATCAACGCGAAACTTTCCGGCAAAGTCTATTTCTGATATCATTCAATTTATCGGTAAAAGTTTACAGAAATTTTCAGGAACCGCAAAATTTTTAATTAAAAGTACAACTATTTCAATCTAGTAAAAGAGTACCGTAAAATGGGGCAAATAAAAACGTTTCGACGCAAAAATATCGCTATTTCAAATGTTATAAAATCTTTTTAACACCAAGTTTCATTCTAAAATTTATCTCGACGTTCAAAGACCGTTCGATCAGTTATAAATTTATTTTGGGTGGCAGAGAGCTTCCAAATAAATGATTTAAAAATTTATTTTAATCCATTGGCGTTCAAGCTCGGCGAGATCTATTTCTGAATCAGATTTACGAAGACTTATTAAGTCGTAAAGTTCCAAGGAAGGAAAACTCGTCTCGGAAAATGAGAGAACCAACACTCTTTCCAGACACGACGTTTGGCTTCCTTCGTTTTCACTGTCTAGATTTCCCTGCTTCCTCGTATCTCACGCTTTTCAGAACTTCAACAATTGCTTCGCCCGCGATAACCTTTTCCTGATTCTCCCTGGAATTTAGAGTCTGAGGAAGCATGTTCAACACCGACACCCTCTCCTAGGGAACAATGTCACATTTTTCAAATCGGGCTCTGATATTACTAGCACCGTTCCCATTCGCTTTGACCATTGAATTATTTCAAGCTATTCCTTCTTCAGCGAGCTTGAAACGAGGATAGAAAAGAAAATATTTATTAGATAAATTTCTTTGTAACGTTTCGTTTGTACTCGACCCATTTTACTCTACACGATAATTATATACTTGTTAACCTCCTCACATATTTTTAGAAATAAACAATAACTTAGAGTAACGATCGATCCATGCAATTTAATTACGTTAATATTTTCTAACGAATTATTTCTTTGTAACGTTTCGTTTGTACTCGACCCATTTTACTGTACACGATAATTATATACTTGTCAAACCCCTTACAGATTTTTTGAAATAAACAATAATTTAGACATTGATCCATGAAATTTAATTACGAATATTTATTTGCAACTTTGAAAAGTATCGTAGGAGAATAAGAACCACTGCCTCGGGTGAATAAAATCATCGCGAAAAGCGTATCTCTGGTTCGAAACGCAGCTGCAGGAATTTCTGTCATAACTTTGGGATCGAATCAGGAATTATTTTCTGATGGCTGGCAGGACCCAGCGAAATAACGACGAAGGAATTTCGCTTACCTGGAGATTCCAATCGAATCCACCCACGTTCACGCCGCCGGAATCCCTCCAGTGATATTCCAGCGTAGTGTCGTCTATGACGTCGATCACAGGGCAGACGACTGTTGTCGAATCGCGAGCGATCCGATCGAGAAGCGGTTCCAACCAACCCTCGGTGCACTCGCAATGGCTGTCCAAATATGTCAGAACAGGGGCTTTCGCGGCCGCAGCCCCCAATAAACGAGCTCTGATCAGACCCTCGCGTTTTTGAGCCCTGATTATTTGCACCTTGGGATAGTTCATCATGTAGTCCTCGAGCTGACGCTGAAGGTGCGCTGCAAAACGATAAATCTCACGAATACGGTAACCACCCGCGACAAATCAGGCGATGAGCCTTTAACCGCGAAGCTTAAGCTAACTACAGATGATCTAAGGGGGAAATAATCTCAGGGATCTACGACAAGGTGAATCAAACGTTCTATGAATCGAACATTTAACCAAAATTGTCGATGCAATTTTATATTTTTTTTGTACGATTAATGTGAGTATGTTTAAATTCACTTTCTGCTGTTTGCTATCTGGTCAATGATTTGATAAAAATATATTTTAATTGAAATTGAATATTTAAATTTCCCCTTCGGGTGGAAAAATCAAAGGGATAAATCGCAACGAAAGTTTCAGCTGATTGAAGAAAAGTCGAGCGTTGTAACATAATTGAACGGAATATTTCTCAGCACAATAGCGATTAACGAGTGCGTAGATTGCTCTTAATCAGGGCACAAAGAGTACGAGCAGACGGTTCGCGAAAATTCCGACACTGATTAACCCTTAATAAATTCCTACAACCTGAGCGTTCGCTTAGTCGAGGAACACCCATTATTGCAAAATTCATTACGGCTTTTCAAAGCGAGGCATCCTCTTCATTTATCGACAGTTTGGGCGCATCGAGTTATTGGGAATTGCTATCGGAACGCGAGCACGAATCCTAGAAACGAAAGGCGGCCCGTGTAATGCAAACGATCATTGTGTTTCGCGCGTTATATCCTCGTTTCGTTGCGGGCGTTTCGCTTCCGCGTTGCGTTAATATTTCGCGATATTATTTTAAACGCGAGCAATAATTCTGCTCCACGTTTGGAATTGTTTGCGGGATATTAATTACGAAACGATAAAAAAGAAATTGAAAATATAAAATGCCGCGATACGAATTAATCTAACAAAAATACTCTCATCGAAAACGATAAATATTACGAAATAAAATAAATTCCTAGCTTTCTAGAAAAGAATATATGACATTTCTTCGTTGCTCTAGAACAAATTTTTAATTACGGTCAAATGGAATTCAAATAACTATTGAAACGATCTCGGAATATTTCCTAGAACCAAACCTGGACACTTCTGAAATAACACTATTTGATATATTATTTCAAATAACATGTTGTAGACTAGTTAAAATTCGCGCGCTCGAACTCGACTTGCTCACTGTATGCGCCGCGTGTGTTATACTTTGTTCTCATTAACATTAATAATTACTAACATATATATATTCCTACTATGTGTTCTTATTAAATATATTATCGTTTATTACTCCTAATCAGCTTGTTTTTCCTCACTGCGCCAACACATGTTATTTCATTTTATAATTATTTTCATGGTATTTTATTTTATAATTGTTTGAAATAATTATGAAATTAACTTTAAGTAGAATTTGTGGAAATTGTGATTATCAATTCTGCGGCTGGTATATACTTTTGAAAGAAAATCGTTGGCTCGGAGGCATACATTCCTATGATCGAATCGCTCGGAAATTGTAAGAAATTCACGCATCATACAACTTGAATTTTTCTAAAACTGGATTATCTTCAGAATTTTGACCAATTTTAAATAAAGAAATGACAAAATAACTCATTTGAAATCGCTTTATCTCAAATACCTCGACGTTATTCTTATTTTCAAACAAAGGTACTGAAAATAAAGGTCTAAAAATAAATTATTTCAAATAGTTATGTGTCATTTTTATTTGAAATGAAATTTGCCCAGGTCTGCCTAGAACAATCCTAGAATTTCTATCGGTGGAAGATCTTGTTCAGTGCGCCTTCGAACACCAACGAAACATCAGATTATCCTCTTTTCACCGCCACCATTATTTCGCGATGTAATCTGACCTCGTTACACCCCGAAAGCGAATAAGACGCGTTCCACCTTGCTATTAATTGGATCGTCTTTATTACTGGCGTTATCTCGCCTATGACAGATAAAGGAAAAGCGAGCGCGTAAGATAAGGTGGAAGCGTATTGTCTCGTTTCTATGATAAAACAATCAGCCGGTTTGTAACGGGATCCACCATGTGCTGTCTATGGGGGCTACCGGGTAGGTATGTTTATGAGCCACACTTTCATGCTGGCACGGAAGCTTATCTCGAGCTTTTAAGGGGGATTTCACGGCCTCCATGCTATATCGTTCCAGCCACCTTGCGCCTCCCTAACCTGTCCTGTCAAGGGTTAATCTTGCCCAGCCTTTCCGTTGCCATTTTTATTCCCTTCGGCCTTTTGTTACGCGCGACCTCGGTCGCTTATCTGCCCTGAAACCCGACGACGCATTAATTCGCGCCCAACAACTTCGACGATAACGAACTTTTGTTTTTCACCGACCCCCTTCGATGTGAAAAAAACTTGTCAAACAATGTCCCTGGCTCTAGCAAGCTTCTATCTATCTATACGGTCATTCTTCTGAAACGTAACGCCAAGTATAATGTTTGATTTCGAGAAGAGAAAACGTCCACTGCTGAAATGACATTCTCAAATAAAGAAATCGATGTATCAGATTTAACACGTCGACTGTGAGACCAAACTTCCATTTTAAACAATTGTAAATAACTTAAAATTTGTTTTATTGTTTACTTTCGATCCTATACAGGGTGTTCGGCCACTACTGGGAAAAATTTTAATGGAAGATTCTAGAGGCCAAAATAAAACGAAAATCAAGAATACCAATTTGTTGATGGAAGTTTTGTTAAAAAGTTATTAACAATTAAAATCAAAAATTTCAAATCGTTCTGGAAAAATTATTTTCGGTTGCAAGGGTGAATTACAATCATTTTTGGTGAATACACATACCTCCGAATTCCTATCCACTTTCGAGAAAAAAAATTGTGTAGGTGCTGAAATTTTTCGGCGAAAAAAAAATTTTTCAAATCGTTCTAAAAAAATTATTTTCGGTTGCGCGGGTCAATTACGATCATTTTTAGTTAATAGACATATCTCCGAAATCTTGCGCATTTTCGAGAAAAAAATTCAGTACGGGCGGAACTTTAAACGTTAATAACTTTTTAACGAAGCCTCCATCAACAAATTGGTATTCTTGATTTTCGTCTTATTTTGGCCTCTAGAATCTTCCATTATAATTTTTCCCAGGGGTGACCGAACACCCTGTATAAATTTATTTCCTGTAACATTTCGACTTGAAATTTAATTGTTTCCATATAGTAAAAAGTCGTGGAAGTGTTAACACTATGTTCACAGGCACTCGTTGAGCAGACTTTTATTATAATTCACTGTGTTGACAGTCACATTAAAATACAGATTTTTTTAAAATGAAGTTACGTATCTCTATCATTACATCAATTAAATTCAAAATAAATTGCAAACAATACAAAATTTATGAGTTCTGTAAACCTAGTGAAACATAATACGATCGAGACTGAATTTTCTACGGTCGAAGGTGAGTTTTAGAAAATTGCATAAAATTCGTAAGAATATCGTCTGGTCGTCGCGAAAGTGCAATCCTTTAAATAGTAATCACAAGTATCATTGTGTGGGAGTAGTTGTTAAATTGCTAACAAATAATACTTATGAGTTCTCTAACGTTAGGTTTAGAATCTGAATGCGTCAAATGGACGTGTTCCGTGAACCCAGTGTTAAGCAATATTCTTGGAGATTTAGGGACACGTACAAATAAAAAATAGTGAAACAGAATTGAGAGTGTGAATTTTCCATGGACGAGGTCGAGTTTTAGAAAATTGCATAAAATTTGTAAGAATATCGTCTGGTCGCCGCGAAGGTGCAATCCTTTAAATAGTAATCACAAGTATCATTGTGTGGGAGTAGTTGTTAAATTGCTAGCAAATAATACTTATCAGCTCTCTAACGTTAGGTTTAGAATCTGAATGCGTCAAATGGACGTGTTCCGTGAACCCAGTGTTAAGCAATATTCTTGGAGATTTAGGGACACGTACAAATAAAAAATAGTGAAACAGAATTGAGAGTGTGAATTTTCCATGGATGAGGTCGAGTTTTAGAAAATTGTATAAAATTCGTAAGGATATCGTCTGGTCGCCGCGAAGGTGCAACCCTTTAAATAGAAACCACGGGTATCGTTGCGTGGGGGTAGCTGTTTCGTCCGAGCAAGCGTGTCCCTATTCAGCCCGGTGATTCGTTATCGCGCCAGTGTTCCATAGTTCCACGATAGATCGATTAATCGTGATCCATCTCTCGCGTGCGCGAGGACCGCGCGCACCGTAACGATCAGGTCAACGTGAATGGACGGGAAAGCTCTTGCCGACATGTTTCGCGTGTATACTAGGAAAATTCCGACAGGTTGATACATGCTAGCGATGGCGAGACGTCCACGGGTTCCGTTCGTTTCGTTCGTCTCGTAGAAAAATTTGCCTGCGTTTGACGCGCGCTTTTCAACGCGAAGGGAAGTTCAACGTCGATCAATTATTTGTTCATATCGCGCGCCGTCCGGGTCGAGACTGTTATTTTCCACGGGGTGTCGGGAACGACCCACTTCCGGAACGTTAGTTTTCCCGTTTTGGTGCTCGCTCGGATAAATTTCTGGCTAGATTGTTCGTAAAACATTCGCGTCGTTCGCACTTTTCGTCTCGTTTACACCGTAAACGGAGGCTCGTTTATTTTGTCTCGAATATATTTTATGGGATCGGAGAATTATTAATAAATCGAGAAAATTGTGGTGACAGAACATTAACTGAGAAGCTTGGAAAAATGAATTCTTAAGGTGAGATATTGAGGGAAATAAATAAATTTTAAATTAAGTGGTATCCAATTGTTTGGAAACAAAGTGTTGATCTTGTGGAAAATTTCAATCAGAGCAATCGTGACGAATTTTACCAATCTGTTTTTGTATTAAACGTTTATTAAAAATGTAGTTTCTTCGCTTACGCATGTCGGAATAGTCATCGACCAAGATGATTTCCTGGATCAGGTGTACCGGCGATCTATCCAATACGGAATGGACAGTCCTCAACAATACTGACCATGCCTCGTTGTGGAAGCAAATTATCACCGCCGTTGGGGGAAGTTCTTTCATGTATCTTCCCGGTTCTTTGCACCTGTAACGATAAAATCGCGAACAAACGTGAGCAAAATCTTCCAAATTCAGAAATTATATTCTAATAACTGCATCTATCCGTAGGTCACTGAACACTATGAAGGTAGTTTTAAAACATCCATATGATTACCGAATTTTTGTTAAAATATACACAATATTAATATTCATAGACTTTGTATCAAAGAATACCGACAAAGAATATTTACAAAGAGAAAATATATAATTTTATCTATATAATTACATCCACACATTTGACTCAGGTGTATCGTCTACTGCTTCGTTATTTACACGTATACACATTTAGTTTCTTTTCTAGTTCCACGTGTTTCTATTATAGTTAATTTATAATTTTCCTTCCTTCGTTTAAAAATGTAACAAAGACTGCAAAACTCACAAAATTTGTTTACAATTATAATTCCAGCTCTAATTTCAAAAGTTATTATTTACATGAACCTCTAAATTTGTGGGTTCCCTGATAATTACTACTACTTTTGTCCAACCTAGACAAAATGGTTTGAAATAAAAATATCTCGTTCAAGCCTGATAATTAGTCATCGATTATTTATCATATCAACAGACCATATTCTCCAACACTAAATAAGAAATAAAATGGAAAATAAATCCATCAAAATTTACGTTCTCAGCGAAGGGTCTCGGACAAGTATTCCGATCGTCCATGAATTCGATTCAACCATATTAATAACTTAATCCCATCATCGACCTATGGATACGGATTAAGGCGAAGAGATACCCACGAAACGATAGGGGGTAAAATACGGTAATGCGATTAGAAACCACTATGTTGGCAGAATGAACGACCGGGAGGTGTACACACATTTCTAAGGTCCCTGCAGACCAAGATTCTAACAGCGTTCGATTCTAGGGGCACCGTATCGCTTAATAAGGCTAATGTAGATAATAACATCTATAAACAATACAGTTCCTTGTTCCACTGTATCGTTACATGAATCTGTGTATGTGTACAGGAACGTATAAAGATACCAAAGCGAACTGATTCGTTTCTCAAATCACTATTTATCGCTCCCTCTGCCACGCGATCCAAGATTTCTTCGTTCACCTCGAAACTTTTTATCTTTTAACTGTACACAAACTGTACATTGTTCAATTTAATTAATTATTACATCGTTCCAGAAAATGTCTCGCCATTATTAATTGCTTCCACATGATACATGTTTTAATAAACTAAAAAGCCACAAAATGTATACGTACGACATTTATTAATAGATCGAAAATCTGAGCTATTCGTAACAAAGCTAATATTAATCCAGCAAACGCAGTCGCTTTTTAAACCACATAAACGAAATATCCGCGTCTTTAACGACACCCGGAGGCGCGTCGATGGGGAATATCCGTTTAAAAATAAAGTCTTAAAGCGTTTGACTCGGAATGTGCCTCAAAGTGTGCATTAAGCGCGAACCATTTTTCGAATAGGATTGCCTTTGCACGAAATCAGTTTGCGGTCTATATTTACGTGTTTGCGTGGAATCGACCGTAAGCCAGCTGGGTTTTGTGTATAGCAATGCAACGGCGAGCGGGTAACAGAAAATATAAAAGCAGCTTACGCTGGCTTAAAGTGATTGTGCTCGAATGGCAAAGAACTTGCGCGCAGCAGATACGCCCGGTCATAGCCGGACCAAAAGGAAACAATTCTGCGAATGACACGTCGGTTATCTGGCAAAGCCATGCTCGTAATATCAGCTGGTAAACTGTATTCTTTACTCTACCTTTGCTAGCATAAATACCCTCGACATAATTTCTATTCCATAATATTAAAAAAATATCTCAATTACTTATCCACGAGTACCTCTGCAATGAATTATATGGAAAATATAAAAGATTTCAACTCGCACCTAGAAGCTACCCGATATCCAAAGGAATAAATTTTATTACGAGAACGATTTATATATATTATAAACGTCCATTAATAAATCTCTCGTTGAAGCTGCTTGCAAAATGAATAATATGTATGTTCGCGATACAAAGCTAATCACACAAAGCACGTCGTATTACCGTCATGTTCAGTAGTCACGCTCGTGTTAAGCCAGACGCTTAGCTGGCACTGTCTAACCATAAATTCATGAATATTACTGAAGCATAGAATCATAGTGACACGAAAATTTCCTCGGTCACGTTTTAAGTCAAACATTAATCTTCGCTGGATGGGGCACCGTACTTCTGCCACTTGCCATGAAATTTAACTGAAAATTTCATTACGAAAGTATTCAACGTTTCTCGATCGTCAATTTTACGTATTCATTTTTCTGCGAAAGTTTCCTGCGTATAATACTCTATCCTGTAACGATAGCTAGTATAATATTAGCGGAATAATATTTACATGCAGCTGATATAATAGCAACATTATTTCGAAGGATTATTCCGGGGGAATTAGGCGAGTTGATCGAGTACTCGCAGTAAACAATATACGAGTAATTACTAATAAGCTCAGGAACTGTTTAATCGATAGTATTAAAATGTCCCTTCCACTGTTAAACCATGTGCAAATTGTGAAATTAATTTTACTTTAAACTCGTTTAATTTTCCAAGCTCGAAGTCGGAAAAAGGGTCTTTAATCTTTCGCCGCGCAGGCGTGAAAATCGCGAGCTTTTCCGGGGGGGAAAAGCTGGCGCCAGGCCGAGATCGCGATGCATTTGATCGAGTGCAATGCTCCGAAAACTGGCGGAACGAGGGGCCACGAAAACGAGGGAAGATTAAAAAGCGGAAGAACGCCGAAAGCATCGAAACGCGAGCCCGAAGAAACCGATCCCCTTTCTCTCTCATTCGATAATCGTTGCTGATTTTCAGCCGGCACTGGGTGGCCCTTTTGTCGTCGACAGAGAAGATATCGAGCAAAAGCGATCTCCGGCATGCTCCAACAGCTTGGAGCTTTTTCCGCTTCGCGTGACCGCGCTAACACGCTCGTGAAAATAACCGGCCACGGTGACAGTTGCACGTAACGATCCCCGCCACGGAGGGCGTTAATATTAACTCGTAACGTATCGTCGATCCTGTGAAATGTAATTGCAAAAAGAATCGTTCCTCCCAAGGACGAAGGAAACCAATTTCGTTTGACAGAACTTGCGACTGACACACTCGCTACTACGAGTCGTTTGTCTTCGAGACAATAATAATGCAATAAAACGGTTAAGCGTATTAATTTTCCTAATCTTTAAGTTGAAAGTGGTTCTATGGACAATGATAAATCGAAAATGTTGTATGAAATTTGTTCGTAGATAGCTTCGTTTTCAAGAAAATTGTAGAATAAGAGTTAAGTGACGGGGCAAGTAGAAAGAACAAATATTGGTCGGACATCTCTTCAAATTGAGTTATCTCGGAAACGAAGTATCGTATGAAAGAATTCTATTCTACATTTTCGACTTATTTTTGGACGTGGAATTATCTCCTGGGCGATTATTATTTGCAAACCTAATTGTATTTTAATTCATAACTTTAAGTCAGTTACTTGTCTCTGAGAAGATAATAATGCAATAAAATGATTAAGTGTATCGATGTACCTAATATCTAAATTCAAGGTGGTTCTATGGACAATGATAAATCGAAAATGTTCAATAAAATTTCTTCACACATTGCTTCGTTTTCGAGAAAATTATAGAATAAAAGTAAAGTATCACAGCAAGTAGAAAGAACAAATATTGATCGGACGCTTCTTCAAATTGGCGTATCTCGGAAACAAAGCATCGTATGAAAGAATTTTATTACACATTTTCGACTTATTTTTACACGCAGAATCATCTTCTGGTCGATTATTATTTGCAAACCTAATTTTTTTTTAATTTGTTTAATTTTTCAGATTTGAAGTTTCCATGGTCTTTTGGGTTGCATAACTTTCTACGTTGCATGACGATTGTCACATATTGTGTCCCTGGCATAGAGGTTTCAATTAGTCGATTGTCGGAATTTTCTTCCCCTAAACCCCATGGGGCGTCGTAAAGATCTGTAATGGCGACATGTGCGGACTTTCGGCCGTGAAAGTAACGGGGGAATATTCGTGATGAAGCTTTCCTCGCATCGCACCGAAAGATGCCGGAATACGTGTGTACGGAAATACGGTGTCTAACTTATGGCAGTTTTTGCACGCGAGTGGGGAATATACCCGTCGCGTGGATAAAGCGAAAATTACTTCGACGTTAAATTAGCCTCGTGGCTACTGGTTTTTCGTGTCTTGTGGTCGGGATTCAATGTCGTGCGTTATACTACGATTCCACGGAACGAGTTCGGGGGCTTTTAGCGTATAATTAAAATTTGTTCCCCGACAAGAACTAGAAACTCGGATAAAACTGATGTACTTCTTTAATTATGCTCAGTAGGGGTCCTAAAAAATTTGAAAAACCGCGAACTATTATGAATTTCAGTTGATTTTACATCTCCAGTGACCAGAAATCTCATAATGGTGTTATAAAAATGTCGATTGGTGTTTCACAAATATTAAAGCAATACTTGTGTCAACCAACGCGTCGTACCTATGCGTTCCATTAATTAATTAATGCTTTAAAGTTTTGATTACATTCGTATCGCGATCATCGTGACTTCTGTGTTCGCCAATTGAAGCCAGAGAGTAGCCGAAATACCACCGGAGCCCAAAGAGCTGTTAGCCACCGACGATGGTTAGCTAATTATGGGATGTGACAGCGGTTCGATACACGATTGATAAGACACAAAGACGCTCTTTGCGCGTACGAGTTCGATGTACCGCGTGTGTCCATTCTACGCAGACTTGAAAATTGAAATTCACGAGACGCCTCGATCGATGAGGAATCAAGGGAGCAGACTTGGAACAAAAACGAAAGACTCGTTTTATCGGTAAAGTATTAGTATTCCTAACGGCGTTCAGAATTAACCCAATCTCTTCGATGTGACTCATTCACTTCATGAATTATTATCGCCGATTTCACGCGCCTTTGGATCTTAAAAATTTATTTAATCAAACTTGGAACCCTCTGTGACTTTGTCGTATTTAAAAAT